TATGGGATGGATGGGCTAGGTTGACTTTGGATAACCTTTTAGCCCTAACCCTAACTTTGTAGTCTAAGTCCGACTTTTGTAGTCTTTTGTAGTGTATCAGTAAAATTTGTAGTCTATGTCTGACTTTTGTAGTCTTATGTAGTGTATCAGTAAACTTTGTAGTTGAGTCCGACTTTTTTGTAGTCTATCAGTAAACTTGGTAGTCTATATCTGACCATTCCTTTTCTAGGGCATGCACCTTCCTTTTTTGGTCATTTTCCCCATGATACAATAGTTGTAGCCCTTTCTTTTAGCTTTCTAAATATACTGAAATCATATTGTTTGGTTTTGTTTTCATGGAGAAAAATGCAAAAAACAAAAAAAAACACGACACTTTTGGGATTCCTTTTCCTCATATCTCCACAACAGGAGCACTTCAGAACATAATTTGAACAGATTCAGGAAGCTACAGTGTAGGGCTACAACTTTTGTTTTTGACCATTTTTGGTAATTGGTCATGTGACCATCATCCCAACATCCCATTACATGGACCCTGATAGGTAAAATCATTCTCTGCTTGGTTTTCTTCACTTTTTGGTCAAACCAGGTGATATTTCCCTTTTGGGATGGAACCTGAAGTGGACCCTGAAGGCAGTGCCTGATGTTCTGTACACCATTTTTATATATATTCACTTTTTCTGCTATTTTTGGATATATTACCATATTTGGAACTGGACCCTGGACCCTGACAATGTTACCCAACATGATGATCAGCATTTGAGCCCTAATTTTTCCTGATTTTATTGCCATTTTACATTTGGAAATGCACCCTGGACCCTGAAAGGTCAGCTGCCACTAAAAATGAAATATTCATTGAAAGCGCCAGGTACACATATGAAAAGTGCAATGAAATCTCCTAGGAATAAGAATGAAATATCCATTGAAAGCACCAGGCATCCAAATGAGAAGCACAATGAGATATCCTGGGTTTAGCAATGAAATATCCAATGAAAGCACCAGGTATATCTATGAAAAGTGCAATGAAATATCCTAGGAACAAGAATGAAATATCCATTGAAATCGCCAGGCATTCAGATGAAAATCACAATGAAATATCCTGGGGCTAACAATGAAATATCCAATGAAAGCGCCAGGTATCCATATGAAAATTGCAATGAAATATCCTGGGGTTGAGAATGAAATATATATTGAAAGAGCCAGGTGTCCATATGAAAATTGCAATGAAATATCCTGGGGTTGAGAATGAAATATATATTGAAAGCACCAGGTATCCATATGAAAATCGCAATGAAATATCCTAGAACAATGAGATATGCGATCTCATTGAACCTCTAGGCATTATACACATCGCCCTCCAGGCATATGTCTGGTTTTTATCATAAAAGTGTATACCACCCATCAGCGCACAGCATTTAATATGAAAGAGGCAATGAATACACCTGACCTAGGGAATGAGATATTTATTGAAATTGCACAACATTAATTATGAAAAGTACAATGAAAGCATCCAATATTCCTAATGAAATATTCAATGAAAGCGCACACAATTAAATATGAAAGAGGCAATGAATACACCTGACCTAGGGAATGAGATATTTATTGAAATTGCATAACATTAATTATGAAAAGTACAATGAAAGCATCCAATATTCCTAATGAAATATTCAATGAAAGCGCACACAATTAAATATGATAGAGGCAATGAATACACCTAACATAGTGAATGAAATATTTATTGAAATCACACAGGATTGATTATGAAAAAAGCAATGAAAGTGCCCAAAATTCCTAATGAAATATTCAATGAAAGTGCACACCATTAATTATGAAAAAGGCAATGAATACACCTAACCCAGTGAATGAAATACCTATTGAAAGCGCACAGGTTTAATTATGAAAAGCACCCTGTGGCCTTGCCTATATTTTATGAAAAGAACATAGGTTTTATAAGAAAGAAAACACAGGACACATCTATGAAATGCCTTTCATAAAACTTGTGGACTTATACACACAGCTCTGCAGGCAATTGCCTTAGTTTTATCATAAAAGTGGTAGCCACCAGTCATTCACTATTGCCCGATTGGCAGCGTCCGCATCCGAAAAGGTGGCTATGACGTGGGCGAAGCGCTGGTCCGTCCTTCGTCGCGCCGGGGGCTTGATCCACCTTAGCTTCATGAGTCCGCCCTCGGGTATGTTGTTTACTTCCTCTATTTCCCTCCTGTCCTTCTCACTGTTGGGGTCGAGGTTTAGCGGCACGTAGTAGGCGACGACGTTGTACGACCTCAATTTGACGGAGGCTGCTGCTTCTCCCAACTCCCGCAAGAAGGCCTCTGCGTTGGCCTTGGAAGCCATCCATACCGCGCCTTCATCCGATGCCATTTCGACCAAGATACCGCCGTTTTGTAACTTCAGTGCCGACCTTATCTTGTGCTTCTGATCTGTTGCCTTGCCCATGGCCTCCGCGAACTTACCCACCAGGACCGTGTTGATGCAGTCCCTGAGCTTGGACTCCCTAGGTATGTCGATGAGTGACTGGTGTTGCCTGATATTCTCCTTCGCAGCTAGCCAGGGATTAGCATCCATTGGCGCCCCAGAGATTCCCCTGTTCAGCGCATCCCTATACGAAGCGCTTCCGGGGTTTCCTGCCTGCTGCTGTACCGCCTTTTCCACTGTTTCCGTCAGGTCCGTCGCTTTCTTCTCCAACATCGACATCTTCTTCTCTAAATCCTCTGTTAGCTTCTCCTTCAGCCCTTCTGTAAGCTCTTTTAGGTTCTTTGCCACCTCGTCGAACTGTGCGATTGCGATTGCTCTAACAGCCTCTGCGACCTCCTCAAGTTCGACCTCCTTCAGCAGGAAAGCAACCGCCCGAACCGCGTTGATTGCTGGGAGTCCAATGCCTGGCAGAGCGGCCGCCTGAAATAGGGCCGAGGTGAGCATGTCCAAGGTGATCGGCGAGCCCCGTGGGACCATGAGTAACTTTTCCTCCAAGAATTCCCTCCCTTTTTCCGCGTCTCCTATCTCTTGACTGTCTTCGTCCACTTCCAAGACACCCGTCGCCCTTGTCTTTCCTCGTTCCTGTACTTCTGGCTCAACAGTGGCTGATCGACTTTGTCGAACGACCGTCGTTTTACCTTTTTGTGACGAAGTCGCTTGGTTCTTAGCCTTCCCTCTGGACCCAGACATGTTCTGGGCTGTTTTGTGATCATTTTAATACTAGTATTGAGAGTGAAAATTGTATGTAGACCAGGATTGTGTTTCGAAATCGACGAGTCGCCCAAAATTTTTTGGGGTCCTAGTCGGGGTGCCATGTGGTTCCGGTCCAAGAGAAGTCCTCATTGGCCGCAATATTCGAACGTTTCCGTATCCAAAATAAAATCCCATCAGCGCTGATTGTTGCATCCGACAGGAACCTCACTCTGTAACTTGTTTATACTATCTACTTTGTACTTATATTTGCAAAAGAAAATTTCTCCAGAGTGCTGCTCGGTTTGGGTAGTTCTATGCTGAACCAACCTACTTGTTGTGAGCTTACACTCTGGCTGGTATAGCTGGTTGGTTACTCTACCCAAACAAGCCCTCCAGATGCTCAGGTCTTGTCCATCTCCTTGGATTTAATTATTACTAATTTACTGTCAAGAAGTCCTGCATCCCAAATCATCTCTACATCTTTCATATCAGCTCCAAAATTATTTCCAAATTTTGTAGCATGCTTTATCACCAATAAAGTATAAAATAACTGCTCCACACTTTAGCTTCATTGTGAGCAAATAAACATAGTGAAGGAGAATACAAG